CCAATGTTTGTAATTTTCTGAAAAACATACTGTGTTTTAAAATACAAAAATGAGATAAATTTCTTAGTTCTATACATTGAGGATGCTGATTATTATCATATAATAGAAATTTATTTAAATATAAACATTGTACATCATATGGGCAGTTTCTACTTTGTTATTTTACTGTATAGTATAGTCTTTGCTTTCTTTTGCTAATTTTGAAAAGTGTAGAGTGGATAAAAGAGTAGTAGCACATTTCACTTCCTTGGAAGTACCCTAGGTATAAATTCATTTCAACCTATGTAAGCCTACTGAAATTTCAAATCCCAACCTTCTTTTACTAATAACTGCTCTTCATTTACTGGGGATAAGTGTACATAAGCACTTTAATAGTTTGATAACTTCTGACCATAGATTCAGCGACCTATTTTAAGACCTTGTCATCTATCACTCATGATCATTACTTGCATTAAAAAAAATTTCCTCGTCATTATTTGCCCCTTAAAAATAGAGAGCAAAAAGTTCTGAAACCTAGTTGAAGACTTGATAAAAATTTGCTAGTAAGTAATCTGTGCCGTATTAGTAGAAAAGATGTTCTTTTTAAACCTAACACATTCTCCTTTTTTAAAAAAATAGGAGCAAGCATTTGATCCTTATGAAACATTATCACAGGACATTCTGTCTCCAGAATTTAATGAACATTTCAGTAAGTTGATGGCCAGACCTGCAGTGGCTCTACACTTTCAGGTAAACTTACATTGGATGTTTTTTCTTTTTATAAAGCAACTAAAGAAATACTTCACCATCTTCTCCTTCAAATATTTGTAGTTCTAGAATCCTTTCGTAAAGCACATAAGGAAATAATTTGCAAGCACTTCAAAATTTGTTCATTTATGTAAACTTTAGATTGTCTTGTTTTTTGTCTTGAGTTCTTTCAATCTGTCCTTAATGTAGAAATCTTTTTTCGCATATTACACATACTGATTGACTATAAGAATCTGGCACATTCTAGATCTGGGATATAGAGATTAATATGCAGAGGTATGTCAGGATCTTTTCCCCTATAGGAATAAGAAATCATAAAGAGTGGAGAATACTCTCATGTAATACCCATGCAATATCTAAGTCCAGTGGATATTTTTATTTCATATTTATGCCTGCAGTATCTGTTAGTCCCCTCCTTGTCCTTTTGGCTCCCATGATACTACTTTGTCTTCATTTTCATCTTCTTTGACTTCTTCTTAGTCTCCTTAATTGTGGATATTTTCCAATTTCTATTATCAGCCCCTGCTTTTCTGCTCCTCTGTGCTCTCCTTAGGTAACTTTGTCTCTACATTTTGCTTTAGCTGCTGCCTATATGCTGGTAATTTCCTATTTGTATTTTCAAGCCATAACTCTCTTTTGAGCTGTGTGTGTGTGTGTGTGTGTGTGTGTGTGTGTGTACACTTTCCTGTGTGTGTGTGTGTGTGTGTGTACACTTTCCTATAACCAGCTAAGTGCCCTTTGAGCTAAGTCACTTGGATGTCCCACAGCACTTCAAATATGTGTTCAAAACTGAACTTACCATCCCTCTGCCTTCTTATTGTGAATTCCCTACTGTCTCTGCACTCAATAATTTGTCAACTTGGAATAAAAATGACACCTAATTCTCAAAATTTAATTCAGTGAAGGAAAAATTTTCTTAAGCTAAACCTTCTATATTCATATAAGCCATAAAGTAAACATTATGTAAATGGGACAGTCTGCCTGTAAGATCCTTGCATTTCTTGTTTCATTTCTATTTTATTAGGTCTTACTGTGGGATTTGAATGTTTAGGACCCAGTTATTTAAGCTCTTGCTCCAGATATGAAATGAAATTTAAAGACTTAGATAACCCTTTTTCAGGCCAAACTGACTTGTACTGTATAAACCTTAAAAAGGTTCATTCAGTGTAAAGTTAAGATAATGCTTCATTAAGAAAAATGGAGAACAAAAAACTTTTTTAGAAGTAGTATAGCACATTTTAAGACCATGAGCTTTGGAGTTAGAACTTCTGGCTTTGGGCCAATCAGTAATTGTATTATCTTAAGCAAGTCACTTAATCTCTGAGACTTTGCTCATTTGTGAAATGATGATCATAATGTATATCTCTTATGGTTTTAAACTATAAAAATCATAGGAATATGCTAAGCATATTTGGCACATGTTAAATACTCAAACATTTGCTTGTGTGATTTATAATTCTTACACTATAAATATACATTGCATTAGCACTTTGGAATATACTTTAGGAGCCATTTCAGTGTTAACAATGTAGATGATTTTTGTAGACTTAATTTTAAAGTTTCATCGGTTTCAGTTAAAACATTATATATAAAATACATGAAAATATATTGAGTGATTGACATCACTATCTTTCATTAATTGGTGAAAGAAATTAATCTTTAGGAAAATAAGTTGATTGTGCATCTTATGTTAATAAGTCCATTGAGCAAATTATAGTTTAATTTCAGTGAACAATTTATGAGAATTATGGCAGTGTTTGCCTATAAGGATACTTTTACTTTTTTTTTTTTTAAGTTTATTTTTATTTTTTGAGAGAGTTTGTAGGGGAGGAGCAGAAGAGAGAGAATCCCAAGCAGGCTCCATACTGTCTGGGCAGAGCCCTAGATGGAGCTGATCTCATGAACCATGAAATCATGACCAGAGCCAAAATCAAGAGTCAGACACTTAATCGACTGAACCACCCAGGGGCCCCTTGCCTATGAGGATACTTTCAAAAAGCATCATATGAGATTCTTTCCTCCTATATTGCTGATGTCTGTGTTTATGTGATGAGGAGAAAAACTGGTTTAAATAAGTCAACCTTAATGACATTCAAAATCAACACGAGTGATTTAAATCTCTTACAAATTTTAGAATATCATTTAGTCTGTGGATGATTAGTTTTCAAAACTGGAATACACCTAACCCTAGCTATTCATAAAATTTTTCAGGTGATCTAAGGGCACAGCTTTCAGAGAATCAGTTTCTAGCCTGCCTGCTACCTTGTTTTGTGTTTTTACATTCTCTTTTCCAACTTCCCTTACACATTACCCTTGCTAGCAATATTTAATTTCCCATTATGCATTGATCCAAGGTATAAAAACCTGCCAGAGTTCCAGCCAGGGAGAACACAAAACTTTTGCTCCTGAAGGAGAGTTAATTGAGTGCAAAGCAAAAGGGTTTCTAATAGCAGGAGGTGGGGTGATTGTGTTAAAAACTCTTCATAGCTAAAATGTCATGTCATATCTCTGTCTTGCCGTATCTAACTATCTGAGAATTAAGAAGTAAGATGTTTGTTAGAGGGGTGAATATTAACTTTGTAAAAGAAAAGTACTTCATCTTTCTTATTTTTTTTTAAATGTGTTGATGTTTGTTTATTTTTGAAAGAAAGACAGAGCATGAGCAGGGGGAAGGGCAGAGATAGAGGGAGACACAGAATTTGAATCAGACTCCAGACTCTGAGTTGTCAGCATAGAGTCACAAACTACAAGATTGTGATCTTACCCGAAGTCGGACGCTTAACCGACTGAGCCATGCAGGCGTCCCAAAAAGCACCTCATCTTTCATTGGACTTTGAAATAAAGGAGAGGGAAGGCTTCTGACGTTTTCATACCTGGATGCATTATGTTAGAAGTAATTATGGATTCTTCCAGATACTTTCTGTACTTCAGACTGTGACATTTACATGTGTATTTGAATTTAAGAATGCAGTCATGGGCAGTTGTGGGGATGAGCACTGGGTGTTATATGGAAAGCAACTTGACAATAAACTATTTGTAAAAAAATTAAAAAAAAATGCAGTCAGACTTTTTGAAGACATTGTCTGATCTAGCTGTTTATTTTGACAATGAAGATTGGTTTTGTCAATGTAGTTAGTTATATGATAGATGTTTTTCTTAAAATAAGCTAACTTTGAAGTTTATTTAATCATTGGTGAAACATATTTAAACCATGTCTACAGTATGCAACATCCCAAAAAAATACATCTTTGTAACTACTAAAATATTTCAAATGATGATACTAAAATGTACAAGAGGATACGTAGCTTTCAAAATTCTTTTAGGGTGTGAAAACCAAAACCTTTGAAGAAAAGTTGTATAGGACTATTGTGAAAGTTACTTTGACTGTATAAGAGATGAAAAAATGTATCTATCTAATAACTTAAAGGAGGAAAAAACCCTTGATTTTATAGCACTTTTATTTCCATATAGAACATGCTTTCCATTATTGTTTTGGTTAAGTCTGTTATCTTGTATTTTGAAAAGTTATTTGTGTTAGGGGGCACCTGGGTGGCTCATTCGGTTAAGCATCTGACTTCGGCTCAGGTCATGATCTCATGGTTCCTGAGTTTGAGCCCCACATTGGGCTCTGCACTGACCATATGGACCTGCTTGGGATTCTCTCTCTCCCTCTCTCTCTCTGTCCCGTCCCCACTTGCCCTCTCTCTCTCTGTCTCTCTTTCTCTCAAAATACATAAACTTTAAATAAAAAGTTATTTGTGTTAGGCACTGCTGTTATACATTCTTGATACCAGAGATATACTGTTATACCTTTTTGCTTTACAGTCCATTGCTGATGGTTTTAAAGAGGCAGTTCGTTACGTCCTTCCACGCCTTATGCTGGTGCCTGTGTATCATTGTTGGCACTATTTTGAATTATTAAAGGTAAGATGAAGTCTTCCTGAACTGAAAGTACTTGCATTTATGAGGCTTAAGAACTAGTTTTTGATCTGGTCATATTATTTTTAATACTTTCTGTTCATAAAAATAAAGTACTTTAAATGTCTACCTTCTTTTCCATGGAGAAAAGCCTATATTTCTTGTCTTCATATGATTTCCAAGTGGTAGAGGGAGGAAAATTTGTCTTTATCTGTCATTTTGTAATATAGAATTTTGAAGTACTAACATATAGAGATTACTTCTTTCATTAGTTTTTGGAGGCACACAGTAACAGTGATTTACCTCTTATGTTAATAATATGCATAACGTTCGTCTCAATTTCCATCTTGTTTTAACTCGTTAAGAAAAGCACTTTTAAAGTTGACATTTTTTTTCCGTATAGTACAGTAGTATCCTCTCATAGCTATGACCTAAGCAACATATAAAAAAAATTATGGTACAACTTGAACTGTTTTTAAAGATCAGTAAACATAAAAATATATGAACTGTTAAAGGTTCTAATAAATAAAATATAAAGTTATTGAACTTACTAAGTTATATTACATACAGAAAAATGTAAAATATAAACATGTTATATAATAAATGAATGTATAAACACACCAGAGGAAACCACAGTGCTGAGTTGAATGGCACTTACATACATGCTTTTCTTTACAGTTTAACCGTCTATATATATTTCACTAAAGATATTTATAGCCTGTTAGCCTGTTTCTGAACTTGGTATAAATTAGATCAAATTGTATATATTGTTTATGTCTTGTATCTTCTCTTAAGGTCATATTTGTAAAATTTATTGATGTTGCCGTATGTTTTTCTAGTTTAATTTTCTTCCATTGTTTGAATAAATTGCAAATTTATGTATCCTTTCCTAGTTGATGAACAGTATTTTGCTATTGCTGATAATACTTGTTATGGACATCCTTGTACATGTCTCTGGATACATGTGTGCATGCATTTTATTTCTCTAGAGTATATTCTGAAGGACAAAATTCTTGTTTATAAGGTGTGTGTATTTTCAAATGTAACAGATAATGCCAAGCAGTTTTCCAAAATGGGTTGTACAGTTTACACTCTTAAGAGAATGCATGAGTGTTTATGTTGTTCTTTATGCATATTTTCAGACTTTTAAATTACTGGTCATCTCATATATTTATAATGGTATCTGGTGCTTTTAATTTATATTTCCTTGATTATTAATAAGCTTGAGTATATGTTTATTGGCCTTCTGGATAACTTCTGTGGTTTTATTGAAGTCTTTTGCCATTTTAAATATCTTCTCTTCTGTGGCTTGCCTTTGCATTCCGTATTTCTATTTCTTATTGTGCATTAATTAAAACTGAGTATATTCTATATTTATTTTAGGGGTTATAGTTTCACTGATGAAATATGGGTAGTTTCTCCTTATTAATTGTTCCTTAGAGCCTTTAAAACACTACTACCTAGTTACAAAAGAATATCTGCTGCCTTTAGACAAGCATCACAGTTCGTCAGTGCATGTTTCTTTTTATACTCCATGTTCCTTTTGCACTTTAAGTTGATCTTTAGGACTGTTACCCAAGTCAGCATGTAGAGAGATGGATATTTTCAGGGTACCATACCATACAGGGCATCATTTCAGTGTCATAGCTACTGATCTTCATTGACTCCAGCTAACATCTAGGACTTTTGTCTACTTTCAGATTATTTCCCTTTCTCAATTGTAATTTCAAAATGTCTTGCTCAGTAAAAATTGCCTATGCAACTTAAAATTTTTTTTTAATTTACTTATTTATTTTGAGAAAGAATGTGTGTGAGCAGGGGAGGGGCAGAGAGAGAGAGAGAATCCCAAGCAAGCTCCGTGCTGTCATCAGAGAGCCCAGTGTGAGGCTCAATCTCATGAACCATGAGACCATGACTTGAGCTGAAATTGGATTTCAGATGTTTAGCCCACTGAGCCATTCAGGCACCCCCTTCCACATTTAGCTTTTTAGAAGCTAGCTATCTTTCTGCCTGAGTATTTTGTATGTCTTCTTTAGGATACCAAGTTGTTAGTTTAGATAACCTGTTCAGACTTTTTCCATCTAACTCTTTAGTAATAATATTAAAGCCAGAATAACTCTGTATCTTGAAGGCACTTAGGCAAGGAATTCATTTGATGATTTCTAATGAATAGTTATGTCAAGAATTCTTTTTATTTTTAAGTTTATTGATTTAAGAGAAACAGAGATCGTGCAAGCAGAAGAGGTGCAAAGAGAAGGAGAGAGAATCCCATGTAGGATCCGATGTGGGGCTCTATCCCATGAACAGTGAAATCATGCCTGAGCTATAACCAAGAGTCTGATGTTCAGCTAACTGAGCCATCCAGGCCCCCCTGAAGAATTTTTTTTGTGAAGTCTTATTACCCATGATATGTGATGCTAAAGTTTCTGAGCACAAATAGATGAACAGTTTGATTATGAATATCTCTCTGGAAACAAATAGATCTATAAAGAACTCAAAAATAATTGCAGGCTTCTTTTGTCTTCCCTAGATAGGTATATTTAGATTCCTAAAAATTTTTGGATAATGTTCATGTCTAATTGGAAGTCCTATCATTAGCCTTAATAATTGCCTTCTAATATTTGCCAATATTCAAAATCCTTGTTTGACTTTATAATTGAAGCTTATTTTTTTCCCCTGTCTGGATGATTGGTTTTTAAAATCTTCAAGGTTAGGGCTCCTGGGTGACTCAGTCATTTGAGTGTGACTTCGGCTCAGGACATGATCTCACAGTTCGTGGGTTCGAACTCTGCATTGGGTTTACTGCTTTCACTCCACTTTGGATCCTCTGTCCCTTCTCCCTCTTCCCCTCCCCCATTCATAATCACTCACACTCTCTCTCAAAACTAAAACATTAAAAAAAATTAAAATCTTCAAGGTTAATTTTATAGCTCCTGTGTCTGCATCATTAATAATGATGGCCTGACTTTTCCTGAGGCCTTAACTACTTTACCATCAGTTAATCACTGGAGTCTATCTATGTCCTCTTAGCCATTGTAATTGGGACTACAAGTTGGTCAACCAATTAAACAATCAGTAGGAACATGTCTGCATCCTGTATTGGAGGGAAAATTACTCTAAAGGACATTATCAGGACATTGACAAAATTGGGTGTGCACAAAACTAGATAATAGAAATTCATGATGTTAAATCTCTTGAAGTCAATCACTGTGCCATAAAAGAGTATCTTTGCTCTAAGATGCACTGCTGGCATATTACAGGAGTGAAGGGGAATGATACTATTTGAGAGTAATTTGTGTATCTCTTAAGTCTTCCTTGTATTCCAAAAACAATCTCAAAACTATTTAGCAGTGGTTCTCCCTCCTCAGCAAGGGACTGAAAGGATAGCATCACAAACTACTCTCAGATAGTTCAGGGGAAAAAATGGTGCACATACCCTCATACAGAATAAGGGAGGAAATGTAGCAAAATATTAAAAGTTGGTGATTAATATTATACAGGAATTGCTTGTACTGTTTTCATAAATTTTCTATAAATTTGATATTATTTCAAGAAAATATGAGGGAAAAAAGGAAGAGTTTCATAGAGAGGAGGCATTTGATCTGTCCTAGAGGCTAATTTGCCAGGTGGATGAGGAGGAGCAGGGGTAGCCCTGTAGAAAGCCACAGCGATGTGAAAGAGCACGGCTTATTTGTAAGTAGTTCAGTACGGTAATTTCTGTGCTGACATAAGATGTTAGAATACATTCTTTCAAATGTCTATAGACAACGTGGGTATTTATCTGATGTTTATTAAATCTCACTGATATTTACTGAAATTCAGGAAATGTTTAGCAAATTGGTGAACTAAGATTGTGGCAAACAGAGCCACTGCTTTATGTACTTTGATCACTAGGAAATCCTATGCTTTAAATAGCCTAAAATATCCTTGAAATACTCTTTTTTTTCCAACTCCCTTGATAGCCTTTATTTATAACATGGATATTTAGAAATGACATGGCCATTTATGTAGGTGAGTTTGAGCAACCTTAAGACTAAGTGGACTATAGAAATAGTATCCTCATACACCTAAATAGAAGATCAGCTCTCATTTTGGTACTCTCATTATTAGAGATAATTTGAAATTTGGATTGACAAAAGCAGTAAGAAAAAAAACTGTAATTAAGCATTTTATATCATCAATACTCATATTTACTAAGGAAATATTTTAGAGTAGAGCTGAGAAGAATCTTTTTTGTAAGAAATCTTTAAAAAGCAAAATAAGTGATTTGGCTGGTAATGTCTCACCTTGGGAAGTCCAAATGACTGAGCCCTGGTCCTTTTCCAACTTCTTTGGAATTTTGCCTCTTTTACCTTCATCCTTTCAATTTTTAATTTCTTAATCTAGAGAAAAAAAAATCCAGAGGAAAAAAATCTAGAGATTAAGGTTTTATTTCTAATGATAGTCTCTTCATTTATTTATATTGCTGATCATTTGGTAATAAGATTTCTACAAAAAATGCCACAGATGGTTCTGTGCTCTAGAGAATAATTTTTAGGACATATAAATGAAAGGTAATGGACCTAGGAAAGCCTGGCTGGGTCAGTCAGAACATGTAGCTCTTGACCTTGGGGTCATGAGTTTGAGCCCCATGTTGGGCATAGAGATTACTAAAAAAAATAAATAAACTTTAAAAAGGTAACGACCTAGAACTCAAAGAATATTTATTCAGTTCCTTGCTGAGGAAAGGGGATCATTGTTGAATGGTTTTCACACTGTTCTTGGAATGTGAGGAAAATTTATCACAAAATTTCTAGTAAGGTAGTTTAAAATCATAAAATAGGTTTAAGTTTTTAAAAATTTTCTGAAGTAATTACAAGTTTTCCATATTTGTACTTGCATAAATATATTTTTGTATCTGTATAATCTGTACATAATATCTACGTAATGCTCCACTTTGACTTCTTTTCTCAAACAAATTGAAATGTTAGAAGGGTGCCTGGGTGACTCAGGTGAATGTTTGACCCTTGATTTTGGCTGAGGTCATGATCCCACAGTTGTGGGACTGAGCCCCATTTGGGCTCCATGCTGAGTGTGGAGCTTGCTTAGGATTCTCTCTCTCCCTCTCTCTCTCTCTGTCTCTCTCTTTCCCCCTCAACACCCCCCCCATACTCTCTCTCTTCAAAAAAAAAAAAGAAAGAAAGAAAGAAAAAGAAATATTGGAGCATCATCCAAACTGAATTATTTATTACAAGGTAAATTTTCCTTCATTTTGAGAGTGAGATACAAGAGAAATTTTTGGATAAATCCAGTAAAGCCAGAGTTGTTAAAAATTTATAAGCCTTATTTCTAAGGGTTAATGAGGTAGAATATTGGCTTTCATGTTTTCTTGATATTTACTACAGTGGTTGAATTTTATGTTGTAAAAAATATCAGTTGAACCTCACAGATACTGTTTGCAGAATAGTTTATGATGGATTGGGGAGCTAAAGTTTGTATACTTGATTATGTTATATAACAAACATATGCAAGCTTTTAGACATTTCTGAAACTTAAGAACTTAATCATTCAAGAATATGAAATAATTTATGTGGTTATCTTATTTATAGTTACTAACAAAAGCAACTTGTAAGCTTCATGTTTTGTGTATTTCAAACTATGTTTATGTATCTGGAGTATGTCCAGATGGTTTTCACAGTTGCTCTTTTTCTGATTGCTCTGGCAGAAGTACTTTGTATTTGTATTATATTTATGTATATAGAAAGAGAGTTGGTTTTGGGAGATCAGGTATGTAGTTAATTAAAAGTATAACTGGTTTTATTAAGCGTATTATTAAGCATATTTAAAAGTCATTTAGAGTTTATAATATTTGTTGCTGTTTCCTCTAACTACAAGAAAAGAAAGAATTGAACAGTGCAGGTTTAAATTTTGTTTGTTTGTTTTTCTTAGCAATTGAAAGCATGTAGTGAAGAGCAGGAAGACAGAGAATGTTTGAACCAAGCTATTACTGCTCTTATGAATCTACAAGGTAGTATGGACCGAATTTACAAGCAGTATTCACCTAGACGCCGACCTGGGTAATTGCAGACTGTTGAAAATATGAATGCTTCTACATACTTCATTTATAGATCTGATGCCTGATTTTTAAAAAGAAGTATTACTTGTAGTGATACTTGCATTCTTGAAAGTTATACTTTTACAATTTTCTTTTGGTCTTTGAGTTTAAAATTGGCATTGTTAGGGGTGCCAGGGTGGCTCAGTCACTTGAGTGTCTGGCTCTTGATTTTGGCTCAGGTCATGGTCCCAGGGTCCTGGAATCAAGTCCTGTGATGGGCTCTGCACTGGGTATGGAGGCTGTTTGAGACTCTCTCTCTCTCTCTCTCTCACACACATACACACACACACACCCCATCTGTCCCCACTCACACTCTCTCTCCCTCTCTAAAATTAAAAAAAATTTTTTAATTGACATTGTCATATTGTTAAGATATGTTAAACATAATCATTTTTGTGTGTTATATAAAAAATTTAGGGGCGCCTGGGTTGCTCATTTGGTTAAGCACCTGACTTCGGCTCAGATCATGATCTCACGGTTTGTGGGTTCAAGCTCCATGTCAGGCTCGGCTGACAGCTCAGAGCCTGGAGCCTGCTTCAGATTCTGTGTCTCCCTCTCTCTGACCCTCCCCTGCTCACACTGTCTGTCTGTCTGTCTCTTTCTCTCAGAAATAAATAAAACATTAAAAAATTTTATAAATAAAATAAAGAAATCTAGGATAATTTTAGTTCTTACGGCATTTGGAATAAAACAATTTCTATAGTACTTCTCTTTCACAATAATGAAATTGAGGCAAGTGTCCATTATGGCAAAATTAGTAGAAGAAAGTAAATGCTGAGCCCAAAATCAAGTGTTTGATTATTTAGTGTTTTTATCATGTGATTTAAGGTAGCTTACACTTAAAGAAATTTGAGTTGCTTAGTCATTGAAAAAGCTAAACTTACCTTTTTTTTTTTTTTTTAGGGATCTTGTTTGCCCTTTTTATAATCGTCACTTAAGAAGCAAGCATCTGGCTATTAAAAAAATGAATGAAATTCAGAAAAACATAGATGGATGGGAAGGCAAAGATATTGGACAGTGTTGTAATGAATTCATTATGGAAGGTCCATTGACACGAGTTGGTGCTAAACATGAGCGGCATATTTTTCTCTTTGATGGCTTAATGATTAGCTGTAAGCCCAATCATAGCCAGTCACGCCTTCCAGGTTACAGTAGCGCAGAATACAGATTAAAAGAAAAATTTGTCATGAGGAAAATACAAATATGTGATAAAGAAGATACCTGTGAGTGTAAACATGCTTTTGAAATCGTATCCAAAGATGAAAACAGCATAATATTTGCTGCAAAGTCTGCTGAAGAGAAAAATAATTGGATGGCTGCACTTATTTCTCTTCACTATCGTAGTACACTAGATCGAATGCTAGATTCAGTGTTATTGAAAGAAGAAAATGAGCAGCCATTGAGATTACCAAGTCCTGAAGTATATCGTTTTGTGGTAAAAGACTCTGAGGAAAACATTGTTTTTGAAGACAACTTGCAAAGTAGAAGTGGAATTCCCATTATTAAAGGAGGAACTGTGGTGAAATTAATTGAAAGGTTAACATATCATATGTATGCAGGTATGTGAAACTCATTACAAATGCTTACTTACCTGGGCTAAGGATCTAAAGCTTTTCAAGGATATTCAAAACTGCTTTCCACTTCAGGGCACCTGAGTGGCTTAGTCTGTTAAGCGTCTCTTGATCTTGGCTCGGGTCATGATCTTACAGTTTGTGAGTTCGAGCCCCACATTGGGCTGTATGCTTACAGTGCGCAGCCTACTTAGGATATTCTCTCTCTCTCCCTCTCTCTCTGTTTCTTCCCCACTTGTTCTCTCTCTCTCTCTCTCTCAAAATAAATAAACTTAAAAAAATGTTTGCCATTTGCTGTGATGGGCACTGGTTTTTGTATGTAAGTGATGAATCACTAAATTCTACTCCTGAAGCCAATATTGCCCTATATGTTAACTAACTAGAATTTTAAACTTGAAGCAAAAAGAAAAAAAATGCTTAAGGCATGGAATAAAAGGGATTGCCTTTAAAATATAAAATGAATTCCACAGAATCAAAAGGAATAAATAACTAATTAAATGTTTCTAAAATATAATACATTGGAGCACATGGGTGGCTTAGTTGGTTAAGCATCTGACTTGGCTCAAGTCATAATTTCACGGTTCACGGGTTCGAGCCCTGCATTGGGCTCTGAACTGACAGTGTGGCACCTGCTTGGGATTCTCTCTCTTTCCCTCTCTCTCTCTGCCCATCCTCCACTTGTACACTCTCTCTCTCTCGCTCTCGCTCTCTCGCTCTCTCAGAAAATAAATTTAAAAATATATATATAATATTGTTGACTTCATTATTAAATATTCATAAAAATTCTGTGAGTCTTTAATTCGAAAACAATCCTCATTTATCAAGAAATACCATGGGGTGTGGGGAACTCTAGTTGGTTAAGCATCCGACTTTGACTCAGGTCATGATCATGGTTTGTAGGTTTTGAGCCCTGCATCAGGCTCTGTTGTGACAGAGCCTGGAGCCTGATTTGGATTCTGTGTTTTCCTCTCTTTCTGCCCTTTCCCTGCTCATGCTCTGTCTCTCAAAAATAATAAACATTAAAAAATATTTTAAATTAAAAAAAAAAAAGAAATACCATGATTGGCAGGAAGACCATGGTGGGAGGAACCAGAAGAAAAAGAAAAAGGAAAAGGGACACCTGGGTGCCTCAGTAGGTTAAGCGTCCAACTTTGGCTCAGGTCATGATCTCATTGTTCAGAGTTGAAGCCCCACATCGGTCTCTGTGCTGACAGCCCACAGCCTGGAGATTGTTTCAAATTCTGTGTCTCCTTCTCTCTCTCTATCCCTCTCCCACTCTCATGCATGCGTTCTCTCTCTCTCTCTCTTTCTCTCTGTCTCTCCCTCTCAAAAATAAATTAACGTTGGAAAAAAAAAAAAGAAAGGAAGGAAGGCCTCCAAAATATGCTACTTTGAATTAATGAAACTGAATAAGTTGAACATACATCCCATTTTATACTCTTATCTTTTCAGATCCCAATTTTGTCCGTACTTTTCTTACTACATACCGTTCATTTTGTAAACCACAGGAATTGCTTAGCTTACTGATTGAACGGTAAGAAAAATATTTATTTTACTTAACATTTTATAAAAAGTTAACCTCTTTGTTCCTTGCAAAGTGGTGGGGACCTAGTATGTGCTCAACTAGTTTTTGAACATAATATATTTGGTATTATATTAGTATTACTGTT